TGAAATTCCCAATTCCAGAGATTGTTCTTAGCTCATTTTTCTCACACATACGTACCTCGCAATGAGGGAATAGAAGATATCTCTCTCTCTCTCTCTCTCTCATACACATGAAGGAGCACTTCCAGCTTCAAACCATTTCTACAAGGAATCATCCCTGCAGACAAGGATTCCCAAATGGAACACAAGTTCTCTTGGTGGCTGAGTAGACACACAAAGCTTTGCCGGAAAGCAAAACACAGCACTTCTTTTCCTGTCCAATTATGTTCTCCAGTCAAACAGTGTTTTGTAGGGCTCCAAAAACCTGTCTGTCCAATGTCAACACTGAAATGGGGGAGAATGGACATATGCACCTGCAGAAAACTCGCTCTGTCACACACACTTCCAAGCTCTGGAAAAACCTATCATCTGTACGTAGCAAACTTTCCAGAGATGTTAACTCTTATTTCTGCATTCGAGGCTCTCTCATGAACTCTTCTAGGTACTGAACAAGACACCAGTCTCCCAATTCAGAGGCAGTTGGTTCTAGGCAACATGGTCCTAGCAAGAATTAGCCCTCAGCAATTTTCAAGGTTAACTAAGAAAGCAATTTCTGCAGAGATCACACACTTCTGTCCAAGACACAGGTGTATATGTCAAACTCACAATGGAAATATCTTTACAGCTTCACCTGTAGCCCTGAAAACTGGCACTCACAAGAATATCTGCTAGCCTGGGAGGAACTATGTGAAGAACTGTGCTGAGAAGTGATATTATTTATGAGACGTTCTTAACATTCAGCACCTACCAAGAAGGAAAACCTGTACATAATATTCCCATTTTGCAGATGGATAAAATAAAACTAAGTGGAACAGGCCACTACAGCCAGCATCAAACCACTTTTCCCAGGTCCAGGACACAGCAAGCTGCCGGGTACTGCAGCCTAGATCTATGCAATAGCAGCAATGTTTTGTTTGATTCTGTTAGGCTCTTCTTATTGCCTGTGATCAAACTGTAAACTGTCTCCCTCTCCTGCACACACACACAGCAGGTCAACAAATGAAGGTCCTGCAGCTAATCCATAAAAAAAAATCTGATTACTAGCACAGACAGGACAACATTTAATCTCCTCCTCCCCTTTCCCAAGCACTGCTAAAATTATGAACCAAGTTTTGACTTCATTTTCTGAAAAGAAAATACATCACTTTGTTGAAATGATGAACTTGAAGTATCTCACTTACCTATACATATGCAATTGGACAGCATTAATATCCTCATAAGGCACACAAGATGCCAAGACTGAGAAAATGTGGTTTGTTGGAAAATGGCAAAGAAAGAGTTAAGAGGCAGACATTGTGGATTGTCCCCAGAGGTGAACAGTTTCAGGTGTTCCTCCCCACTGGTTTTAACCTGGTCAGCTGCATTCCAGACCTTGGAAGACAAATGCTGGAGAACAGAAAGTGTTTCCCAACCCTGCCCAACCACTTTGGAGCCAGTCCTGCACAGGGCTGGAAAACAAAAGCGTTCAAACACTCAAGCTTCAGCCTTCAGTGTCTAGGGGCTTGGTGAACAGGCACCTGGGACCCTTCCAGCCCTGCTTTAATCTAAGGTGCTGCTGTGTCCATCCTATTGATTAAAAAAAAATAACAAAATCATCTGAAAATGACACATCTAAATACTCTGAGCACATCGTGTTCACCTCTCTCCTTCCCTGATGTATTTTAATCAAACCTCATAACCTTAGCAAGCAGCACAAGCCACTCATAATGGGAAATGGGAGAGGGGGGGAGGGTTAACTGCAGGAGGACATTGTGTAGTGATGTTTCTGGTGCTTGGTGCCAAGAACCCACAAGGTTGCATTTGCCACGCACTCCCTAGGGTTGTATTCTGTGGCAAGCCTTTCTTCCGGTTGGCTGGGTACCACCTGACAGGCAGAGCTGTCAGCCCACAGTGAGCAAGTTGCGAACAGACACGTCACCCCACACGCCCAGAGCTACAAACAGGCTGCCTCGGTTGAAGCAGACCTATTATCCCTCCTGCAGCATTACATACCAAACATCTTAATCCTGTGATAGATGCACACGTTCACCCTTCGCTTGCAACTACTTTTGCTGGACAGCAATACAGACACAGGAGTGAGGATCCCAGGCCCATATTTCCCATCCTGCAAAGGAACACCACGACCATTGTTTCCTCTGGCAGCATCACAGGTGATGATGGGGCAGTCATGCCAAGAGCCACAAGTTGTTGAACACACAACACTCCATATAATTTGCAACTGGGACCCCCCACACACACAAAGAGGGGAGGAAGGGCAGCACTTAAAAGGGAGAGAAACTAGAGAAGAAGATCGGCCTTAAGGTGTAACCAAAGCAGGTGCTCACAAAAGAGAAATCAAGATAATCCTCCTGTTTTAAAAGAGGCAGTATATTCTTGTATTCTCTTCCCACATGGAAGCTCATATCAGGGGGACAGTTTAACATACTACTCTTCAAAGTGCTTGATTCAACCATCTTAAACAAGCCAGGATATTCCAGTGCTCCAATCTTACCAGAGCTTTTCAGAGACTCAAAAATGGATTCTGTTGATCCAAGTGAATGAAAGGGTCTGCTTTGATACACCTGACAGAAGCTAGCAAATGGAAAGACAAAGGCAGCCACCCAACATCAAAGATTTCTTGCATCTCTGGGTTCTAAAACAGTACCATACCCCAATGTGTTCTCACTTCCCTTAAATGTATGAATGAACACAGTAACTGGGATGCCATACTGACTCTGTGCTACTGTAGTAAATCATTGCTGCTGTGCAAACAAATCTTCCAGCACATCAAAACAAACAATGGAGGGGAAGAGCCATCAGCACTATGCTGCGAACCAAGTTGTACAGAATCCCTGTACACTTCTTCAAACCAACGTGGAACCCCAAAGTCAAGGCATTTTGCTTCCCCTGCCCATCAGACACATTGTCTGAACCTTCCATTGTCAATCAAGGAGCACCATCACCAGTCGTCTCCATAACCTTACTATAAATAAATAAATAATCTGAGAACATGAAGCAAGACTCTTGAACCCTCCTCCTCACTGGCAGAGTACAAGCCCCTAACACCAGCTCCTCTTTCACATCCTCTTTGTTGGGAAACTTGCAAAAGCCCCAGCCTTCCCAGAATAGTCAAGGGAGTAATGCACTTGTACTTTCAAAGACAGCTCAGCTCACCATTTATTGATTGTAATTTTACTCCATTTCCAGACAAAAATAAAAAAAAGATTAATGGTTTACATTATTACAACCTCCATTTGTGAAGGGGTGGTGGGTGTTCCTCTCTTCACCTACACTACAAAACTAGCAGTAGAAGAAATTAGATATATTGCAAGATAGGGGCATGTGCCGAAAAGCAGATCCTCCCTGTAAACTTACAGGTCTTGCTAGAGAGCAGAGTTGCAAGTCCTTCCTTCCCACCCCTAAACCTTATCAAGCAGCTTAACCCTTCCCTTAGGGATTCCAGTTCCAACCCGAGAAACAAAGCAAAAAGGGAGGAAGCAACTCCACTGGAATCACTGATGCTGCTTTTGATCACTGACTGCTTAAACTCGAGTAGGATGCTTCCCCCCCCCATAACATTTTTCCTTCTTTGTCACCTCCTTTTCATTGTCATCAGCAATTAATGCTATCAAGCAATTACTCCTTGCTTCTACAAGAATCACACCTCCAGAGTACATAGAGGCAGAACCCGAATCTCATGAGGTGCCCCAAGTGCGGGCCTGGAAACTAACACCATCGCTTCAAAGAACAAAACAGAAGGAAAGTCCTATCAAATGCTAGCTTTCATGTCTGTTTCTTCCACATTCCTTTTTGTTATTTTCCTTGGCCAAATCCTTGTGCTGTCAAGTGGCTGTTTCTGTGGGAGAAGCGGTGCATACAACTGTTTAAGTCTTATTTAATTCAAGCACCTGCCTGTACCACAGAAGTAAATCAGACATAGCAAAAGACTTTGAAAAAGCCAGAACTCCAAGATCTCTAGGAACTCCAAATTACCATTGATACACTTTGATATTTTGGTACACCTCCATGATCAATCTCCACAGCCAACTTGGAAATGTCTGGGTCAGACTTGTTAAAATGCTGACAATCTGACATTTATAAATCTATAAAGGTTTACTGAGGAAGAACCAAGGAGATGGGACACCTAGTCTACAGGGTTAGTGAGGGACCTGGAAATTGCTTTTCCCCAGGGGGCTGCTATAGTCTACAGCCAGTATAAACGTGAGGAAATAAAGAGCCCTGCTGAATCGGATCATGGTGGGTTCAGCATCCTGGTTCCTACAGTGGCCAACCAAGGAAATTTACAAGGAAGGTACAAAGACAAAAGCCCTCCCTGCCCTTTATAACCAGTGTTCTAAGGCAAACTGCCTCTGACTTCGGAGGCTTTACTTGGCTCTGGTAGCCCACAGCTGCTGACAGATGGCTCCTTCCTGAATTTGCTTCCCCATAACAGTACTTCTTCTTGGGCTGCAAGACACTGAATGGCGAAGGGTAAGTCTGCAGAAGTCTTGCTCCTTAGGCTTACGCTTACCAAGGAACTCAGTGGAGGGGTGAGGGGAACATAGCTGGCATGTGGTGCCTGGTGGGGATTCACAGCCCCGTGACAACCTGACTGGGATCTAATGGGACTGAAGGGGGCCAGTTCCATAGGCTGCTGTCGTGTCCATAGGGAAAGGCAGGTATGGGGGTCTCTGGGATACCACAGAAGGTGGAGAACGCTACGGGGGAGACCTGGGGGGGGGGTGTCTGAGGGAGCACTGCCTTGGGGCATTCAGAGAGAAAAGCAGAGATGGGGGCTCTGGGGCACGACAGGTGGAGGCTGGGGCTTAGGTGGCCTGACAGCTCCGTACCCTGGGGCCCTTCCTACAAACCTTGCGGGACAGTCATGGGTGGCGCTGGGAGCCCTTAAGTGGGGCCTCGGTCTCGACAATCCTACTCTTGTTCCTGAACCCCCCCTGTTTCCGTGCCCCCCCCCACAGGCTCACCTCAGCGGGCGGGCGGCCACCTGCGAGTCGAGGGCGGCGCCATTCACACGTCCGCGGAGACCATCATGTGATTCAAGCGGCCACCTCCGAAACTCTGTCTTGTTTTGTGCGTGCGCATAAGGCTTTGAGGCGTGGCGCAGCCGCAGTGCGCAATGAGTGCCAGGGTCGCCATCTTTCACTCGGGCTGCCAATTGGGACGCGCGCTTCTTCCCTCCTTCCTTCGGGTGACTTAGCAAGTCGTGGCTAAAGACAATTCTGGCTCAGCTCAGGGTCTAGGGACGGTGGGATTGGGTAAATAAAGCTCTTACTGCCTCTCCCCCCCCCATTACCGACAGAAGGCACCTTTATCAGCAGTACGACCGGCAGAAATCGAACAGGTGAAGCTTCCCCGCTGTGAAGTTTGGCTCCATGTTCAACCTAGTTCTCAAACGCTTCGAGGGAAAAGAAGCCAATTTTCCGCCACCTTTAGGGAGAACTTGTCGTCGATCTCCCTCTTCTGGCCAGTTGCGGGATCAGCTGGGGGGGGGTCATTTATTTATTTAGATAATTACACATCCTAATATCATTGGCTCGGAGGTGGAGGTACAGATGGAGGGGTTATTCCTTGCTGCACAACCTTTCGTTTCCACTTGGCCTCTGGCGACCTCTCTTTGGATGGATTAAGGGAGGAGAGGTGGGAGGTTATTCCTGAAACTGGCCTGCTGAGATATTTAAATCGTTTCAAAAGTAAACAGGAGTTGTGTGGTATTTTGAAAACTGACAACATTTAATTTCAGAATAAATTTTCCCGGACTAGATCCCATTTCTTCATTCGCAGTAACTTGATCCAGTCTGTTCTACGGACTTCCCACCAAGGGTGGCCTGCTGTCTTTTTCGTTTCCACTTGGCCTCTGGCGACCTCTCTTTGGATGGATTAAGGGAGGAGAGGTGAGAGGTTATTCCTGAAACTGGCCTGCTGAGATATTTAAATCGTTTCAAAAGTAAACAGGAGTTGTGTGGTATTTTGAAAACTGACAACATTTAATTTCAGAATAAATTTTCCCGGACTAGATCCCATTTCTTCATTCGCAGTAACTTGATCCAGTCTGTTCTACGGACTTCCCACCAAGGGTGGCCTGCTGTCTTTTTTGTCCCCTGCAGGGCCTGCTGCTGGTCCAAGGGACTGAGGACATTTTATACTGAATGCGTATCTGCAAGTGTCTGGTTTTCCCTGAAGACAGATCCAGGTGGTCAGCCATGTTGGTCTGAAGCAGTAGAACAAATTTAGAGTCCAGTGGCACCTTTAAGACCAACAAAGATTTATTCAAGGTGTGAGCTTTCGTGTGCACGGACACTTTTTAAAATAGAAAGCTCATACCCTGATTTTCCCTGAGGCACGTTTCTGTCCTGCCTTTCCTGGGTTACTGATTTTAGTCCATCTGTCACTCTATTGGCTGCTCGTCAGTTACTAGCTATCACATACAAAGCCCTTCCTGGGCTTGAACCCTCATATCTGAAGGACCACTGCTTTGCAGTGCTCTGCCACAACAGCTTTGCAATGCATGGGGTCTTTTGCAGCTGCCATCCTGCAAATGGGCAGGATCAACAACTGCTGGTACACCCGCACTCTCTGTTATGGCTCCCACCTTAAGGAATCACCTGCCTGAGAAAGTCAGGAACGCTCCCGTTGTCCTGGCGTTTTGCAAACTATGCAAAATGAGAATTAAGTAGGAGGTCATTTTTATAAAGAAAACAGCGCTATATTACAACAGAGCAGTTCGGAAAAGTGCTTTGGTGCATATATGACCCTTCTCCCACTGCACTGTTTTCTACTTACATAATAACTTTTTCTGAACGGTTTAATATATCATTTATAATACTCTATGCTTTGTTTCAGATTGGTTTTGGCCCCAGCGGGGCCGGGGCACCACCCCCTATGGGGGGTGGGGTGGCCGGGGAGGGAATATTTAAAGAGATCCGCCTGGTGGCGCCGCGCCGCGCCGCGCCGCGCCCCGCTCCCCCCCTCCCTCCCAGCGGAGTGGTTTTGGCTCCAGTGGGGCCGGGGAGGGGATTTTTTAAAGATATCTGCCTGGTGGCGCCGGCGCCCCGCTCCCCCCTCCCCCCGCGAAAACTT